ATGGTTAAGTTTCTGCAGTTTATCTAAAAGAAACTGTTAATGCAGTAATGTTGTAGTAACAACCGTGGTCACGTCCATCATTCTCTGTGTGGCTCAGGGACGCCCTGTCTTGCTTGAGAAGGTCTTCTGTCCCCAGAGGCTCACCATAGTCTCCTAAATTTAAACAATTTTCGCGTATTATTTATTTATGTATGCAGCCACTTTATTTAACGTTTTTAAGTTAGCTTTTTAATCTATTTGGAATTTATTTCTCTGCAAAGGCTGTGGCATGAATTATAGTCCCAGCTTCCAAATGGGCTGCTACTTCCACCAGCACCACCGCTTTGATAATTCATCCGCGTCCTCCTGGATCAACGTGCCAACCCCGTGGTGTGTTAAACTCCTCATTCCGTATGGACCCTTGCCTGAACGCTATCATATGTCATTTGTCAATTCCTGTGTCTCCGGTACATGTTTTTCCTTAAGAACTTTGAAATCGTCTTGTGAAGTTCTTCCATCCTTCAAAAACTATCTGGATTCCAGCTGAGGTTTGGTAAATCCCCGTGAAGAGAGCTCACGTTTATCAGTAAGCTTTGCTATCCATTGGCGTGAGCGCTCTCTCCACTTCAGATATTATGAGTTGCCTTTAATGAGACTTGGTGGTCTTTATTCTGCATGTGCTAAACTTGTCTTCTTCCGTCTGTTCCAAGGCTTTGTTATTTTTAAGTTCTGGTAACCACGGGGAAGGAGAGTTTGACTTTTCCATCCCGTGTCTACAGGTTTTCACTACACAGAAAAAACCCAGTCAGTGGGCTCCAGGGATGTACAAAACGGAAGAACGGCGAAAGCCTGGACCACAGAGCCCAGAAAACCTCCCAGACGTGAAGACAGCAACCTCTTCGCACCGAAGAGGCTGAAATACAAAGGAGAGAGAGTCTGGGGCTTAGGAGCCCACGTCCGTACATCAGTCAGCCTCACAGGAGTTCCAGGAAAAGGGGAAAAGGAGAGGGAAAGAAACACCCAAGAACGAAGGGATTAAAATGTTCTGTTTTAGGGAGGGTTTGTGTCTCCAAGGCTCCAAGATGAAATCTGAAAAAAAAAAAAAGAAGATCTGCTTTTGGACATATGGCAGCTTGATTTCCGCACAAAGGGACCAAGCGAGAAACATCCTGAAATCCCTGCACGAGGGGAGAAGAGAAAAGAGAGTTCTCGTTCAGCACCAAACACACGAAGACAGATAACGTCGGAAGCCGGGAGAAAAGGCGTCCGAGCCAAGAATCTCACATCCACCCTCACCAGCACTCGAGTGGGAGGGCAAAGCAAAGACGCCGAACGTTAACCGCCCACAGGCACTCTCGGAGAGAATTATTCCAGGGAAACAATACGAAAAAAGAGAAGGAGCTGGGCTATGAGAAGCGATGGGGAGAGAATCCACAGCAGCTACAGGCACGCCTTATGCCTTGATGACCACTGACGCATAACTCACAATGTTTTTCTCAGTGATGGGGAACTAACATCTCGGAAGGTCTCAACACGGCTGGAAGAGGCGGAAGAGGGTGAGGCGAGCCTGTGCGAAACCCTACTGAGTTTGTGGAGGTAGGTCCAGAGCTGGCTCATTCTAGGTAGCGGTGGAGAAACGTGGAAGCTTACATATGTGTGTAAAAAATCGTAAGCCACTATAAAAACAGGATTGAAACGATCGACTTCCAAACTAAAACCCCGCCAGCAAAAAGAAGGGGAAAAACAGAAAACGCACAAACTAAACGCAAATTAAAAAGTATAAA